TTTTTTTTTTTTTATCGTTAAATGTAAATATATATAGATCAAAACTGGGTACAAGGACCGTTGGACGGCATACAAAAGCGTAATGGGCAACCACAAGTCGGTTCCCCAGAGTGTTTGGCTCGCTTTTTTTTTTATACGTGTAGCATGGGTTTTCGGCAAAGCCTTGGGGACAAGGCTGTTTTGACCGAGATAGTATTGATACGTATCTATATTTAAGTTTCTATGTTTTATTTGAGTTATTTAATTAGGGCTGGAATAAGTTGATGGGGCTTCTGCTTTGCAACCTAATTTGTTTATTTTAGTAGGGCTTAGGTCTTTTAAGTCGAGGAGAAATCCTAATCGGTATTCACACTTAGGACAGGCTCGCCTGTAATTTCTTTGAGTTCATCCCGTTTCTTTCGTTTTCAATGAATTATTAATTTTAATTTTGGATTTTTTCTATAATCCGCCCTTCACTCGATTAGTCGGTCCGACCTGCCGGATCCAAAAATCAGATGGAGAAACTCTAGAGAAGGGTGTTAAGGCATTGACACCACCCATGGATCATTTGTTGGCACAATTTAGCCGAATTGAAGAGTTGATGAAGCAACTACTTTGTGAGAAAGGGTTGCTGCCTCGAAGCTGTTGTCAGCATAAATAGTGCCCGAGCACCGGTGCATCTTGTTCCTGGTTTGTCCTTTACAAGCTGTTTTGAACGACGGGAGAATTGTTAGAGATAATTGTTATTTTTTTTTATTTTTTTTTAAATAATTGCGCTTTTAGGCCCATTTGCTTATAATATCCATTAGGGTTAGGACTCTACTAAGTAGACTACCATTTGATACCTAGGATATCTTTTGTTGAATAGGATTGTCGGCTTTAAGGTTGTCTCTTCCGGCCTTAGGCTTGGCGGGATTCATCCCGAGTATTTTCTTAATTAATAATATCGACTATCTATAATTTTTGTTTGTTTTCCCCGTAACTCTATCATTTACTCTCTAGCAACCTTTCAATCAGATCAGCGGAAACCGCACCCAACTGAAAATTAGATAAAAGAGTATTGAAGAGAATCAGAGAGGGTAAATCAAACATACACCAAAGGTGTTTTCCATTATTATGAAAAAGAGAGCTCAGTAGTTAGTTGTTCTGTGTTTTTACAGTAATGAAAAATGAAGAAGTGACTGTATATATGCTACAGTCACAAGCTAAACAAGAAAAGTACATAAATGCCCTTTAGTCAACAGATTGAACTAATAGGAGACTAATACATTCAACAAGTATTGAACTGGGATGCAGGGATGCATCTACCTATTTTATTTTATGTTCGTTACCTGGTAACGAATTTAGCCTAGATGTGATTGCTGCCAAATAACTATGTTCTATATTTGTAATTACCTCACTGCTTCTATTATCTCTGATATATTAAAATAAAAAGACACATCTCTATTATATTAAGGATTGTAAATTGACTTGTAAGTTTGTGCCAGTTGGATTCTCCCCAGAGCATTTACTCAACTCCAGATGTAGCTTGGTATGGTTTTCGTTGGGGTTTTAGTCTTTTGTTGATGGAATTAATGACACATCTCTTTCACTATAACGCCTTTGCCATCAGGTGAGATTCTAACAAGTTTTTGAGTATGGATATTAAGTTGTGTGAGTTCCTATTCTGAGAGTTTTTCTTGCAGTCGCTTGTGGAAACAATTGTCTCCCATGGACATCTTCATAATTGGTTATGGTGTAAGTGATTATTATCCTGATCTCCTATTTCTCCGAACAGTTCTATTTTTGAGAATGTCCATTTTAGTTTTGTCTGTCTTGCTGTTAAAGTTGGTCTTAAATGTGGAAGCAAGCACAAACTCTAATATTTATTTTTCTTCAAAATTACATTTGATCAGAAGGTTTCATTCAGTCAATCTGTTGAATCAGTTTCTTTTCATTTATCTGGGTTTGAAATGGAAGTACATTGTAGACATGTCTTTCTGGACATCTGAATGCCGTCATAGCTTGGAAGTGAACTTGAAGCGAAATAGAAACAAGCAAGAAACAGAGATGGTCTTCCTTGTAGCTCAAAGCATCATGTACCAAGAGCAGATGCACAATATAAGGCCAAAGTCTGTTATCCAAAAGTTGTTTGTTAGTAGTGTTTATCCACTCTCATCAAGAAGTCATAAATTTCATGAACCAGTCATAGTTTAAGTAGAAACCATGCAACTAAATACATTACTCCATGAATTAGGTTAACACATTAAACCATATTTGAATAATCATGACCCTCCAAAAGAGAACCTTTTTTCTTTTTTTTT